ATATATCATGGAAAGAGAAGTTCCAACGATTATATTATACTGTGCAAGGATTACATAAAATTCATAACTCCGGATTAGTTCACCGAGATTTTCACCCTGGAAATATTCTTTTTTCGAATAATTGGAATCTTGTTTACATAACAGATCTAGGTTTGTGCAAACCGGCTATTTCTAAAGAGGAAGATAACGAAATATACGGAGTACTTCCTTATGTAGCACCCGAAGTTTTACATAAAAAAATATACACAAAAGCTGCAGACGTCTATTCTTTTGGAATCATCATGTCAGAAATACTTTCTGGAGTTCCACCTTTCGAGGATGTTGATTGCAATAATGAAAAAGAAAGTAAAACCCTTGCGATCGGAATCTGTAACGGAGTCAGACCAAAAATTCAAAACCTATCTCCTTTAATAGTTGAATTAATAGAAAAATGTTGGGATGCTGATCCATCAAAACGACCATCCATAGAAGACTTGTGTAAAATTTTAAATGCATGGAAAGAATTTCACACCCACTCTGAACTTGCTAAACAAATTGACGAATCCGAAATTGCAAAGAAAAATAGGAACAATGAAAGAAATCCTGAAGAAAATCAAATTATTAGGGAAAGTGAGATAAACGAGTTTTTCCGTACAAGCCTTCTTCTATCAAATCGTACAAGTAAACTTCTTGATTTTAAAAATCTTCCACAACCTAAAAATTCCGAAAACGAGATAAATACAACAAGTCAGTCCACAAGTCAACTTCTTCGTATAGGTAAACTTCTCGATTTTAAAAATCTTCCACAACCCAAAAATTAACATTAAAGGTAATATTATATAAATAAACGCATACCAATGGACACATTTTTATGAACATTTTCTAATTTCCAACTTATTTTAGAAAATACAGGGTTGTTATAGGAGTATTCGAGTATATATACTGTTCAAACCATAAGAATTATTTTTTTAAAAAAGAAATAGTATTTGTGTAAACTTTGACATTGTTGTTAATGAGTCATTTATGTTGTATATTGTTTGTTGAGATTTGTTCAGTGGATATATCTGTTGGGAGATCAATTAATGTTGGTTCGTTGTATGGTGTTTTGTTTTTTATAGGCTTAGAGTCTATGGATTTTTCTGCTATTGTAGTGTAGGTGTTATTGTTGATATGTGAGTCTGGATTGTTTATATTTTCATTTGTGTGTGTATCTGCTTCTAGATAATTTTTGAGCAAGTTGTAGAGATTGGATAAGTTTTCGATGATGTTTGTACATCACTATCTGTGCTTTGACTGTTTCCTATTAATATTGATTGGTTATATTGTTTGTGTTTCCAGGGATTAAATTGTGGATAATGTTCATTAGGTTATTCATTGTTTGGTTCATATTTTGGATAGTTACATGAATTTGTTTCTGTTGTGCTTGCAGATTTTGAATTTGATTATTGTTTGTGGATTCTTTTTCTTGATTGGTTTCTGGTGGATTGTTTTCTTTCTGGATGTCTGAGATGGACTTTGTTTCTTCCATGGCTCCCACTCCATTCTCATCATAATATTCTAGATTAGTAATTCTTTCATCCATTTTGACCATTTGTTATTTGACTTCTGCCATGTCTTGTTGTAATTGTTTGAGGATATCTACTATTTCTTGCAGGTTGGCTGGTGTGACTTCGTTATTTGTGTGTTTTGTGATGTTTTTGCTACTGCTGCATAGGAACCGGGTCTTGTTCTTCTGTACTGTTGTTGTATGGATATGTATTTCCTAATTTTGCTTGTTTTTGCTGGTCTGTATTTTTTGTATAGTCTCCCAAATTTTGTGACTTGTTTCTGATTGTATGCTTGCCAGTGGTTTCTCCTGTCTTTGATGGGACAAGTGGTTGCCAGGTATGTGTCACTGTCACAAATTGCATAGAGCTTGGTATCTATTTGTGTCCATTTTAAGGATATTTCTCTGATAGTGTATGGTTCGCCTGTTGCTTTTTGCAGATCTTTTTCATATTAAAAGCTAATCACTATAAATCTTTTCC